AGTGGTTGTTGGTGATTCCTCGCCATCTACGTGCTGATATTTGCCCCTCGTTCTATGCGGACCCCCAATGCGGCCACGCTGGTGTAATAAAGACGCATGCACGCCTCCGGCTGCGGTACTACTGGCATGGAATGTACCGATTTGTCCGCCAATACGTGCGTTCATGCTCAAAATGTCAACACCGGAAGAGTTCATTGCATGCTGTCACTGGACTGCTTCAGCCATTGCCCTGCCCATCCCGACCTTTCGATCGCATCGGAATTGACTTATATGGCCCACTTCCATACACACCTGACGGGAATCGCTGGGTGGTTGTCTCTATTGATCATTTGACACGGTATGCTGAGACTGCCGCGCTGCCAGAGGCTACATCATGTGAAGTCGGCTTATTTATTCTTCACAAACTTGTTCTTCGCCACGGCGCTCCTTGCGAGTTACTCAGCGGCCGCGGACGCACGTTCCTCTCAGAAGCCGTACAAGACCTCCTGCGTGAATGCAATGTTGTTCATCGAACGACCAGTGCGTACCATCCCCAAACCAATGGCATGACTGAGCGCTTCAATCGCACATTAGGCGACATGCTGTCCATGTATGTATCTGCTGACCACACCAACCGGGGTCGCATAGTACCATTTGTCACTTATGCGTACAACAGTGCCACTCAGTCCACGACTGGATTTTCTCCCTTCTTTCTTCTATATGGCCGTGAACCCTCCTCATTCATGGATACCATTCTCTTGTATCGCCCGGATACTGCAGAGTCTGCAACCCTCTCAGAAGTCGCCACCTATGCCGAAGAATGCAGGCAGCTAGCACGTTCGTTAACTACACAAGACCAAGCACACCAGAAGGACCGCCATGACGCCAACCTGCATACCCAGTCATATTCGCCTGGAACATTGGTGTGGTTTCGCGTTGCCTCCTCAGCTCCAGGCCTTTCTTCAAAGCTGCTGCCTGAGTATGAAGGCCCCTACCGCATCCTGCGTGATGCATCCCCGGTAAACTATATTGTCGAGCCCGTACAGTCATCCGCAGACCCCGCGGCCGTGAGATTGTTCACGTCGACCGACTGAAGCCGCACTATGACCCACCAGTCGTACCTGTGCCTTAGGTCGCCAGCATGGCTCTTTTTTCGCGGAGGAGTGATTTGTAGAATCAATAGGGTTCAATTAGCAGTGCCTGCAAAAGACGAGGAAGAGGACCGTGGTGCGTGCTCATGATAGCTCCGATTCGGATCGCTGAGCGCTTGACTTGTGTTCGTTTTCTTAATAAATGCGTCGCGGACTCAACGCATCCTACCAATATATATATATTGTGTTCTATATATATATATAGAACGTTCACAAGTCATCTCCACCCAAAGCGGCAGGCACGAAAAAGAAATTGTGCCGATGAAAAGCCGGGCAGTCCACGCACTGTATTTGTTGCATGGAGAGGCGAGCAGCATCCAGCAGCAAAGAACGCCTGTGCTCCTTTTTGGTCATGACTTGCGGTGTCACTAAAAGTAAATATGACGTTTGCTTAGGTAGGCCTTCGCGTGTGACTTGAATTTCGAGAAGGGTTTTTTTATGGGGTTAAAGAAGAGACTGTACGCTGACAGGCGCTTAATAGAGTACAGGGAGTTAGCCAAAGCCGCCTGTTCTGCTCGAGCGTGAGCAGGTGCGTTATCAAAAAGGAATAGAGCTTCGGTGTTTGGCTCATTACGTTCTAGGCGGTCCGAAACCATCGCTGAGGAAATCATTAAAAATAACCTAATGAACTTTGTCCACCACAGTCTAGTGAATGACTCCGTTTGCAGATATACATGCTATAAAGTTAAAGTTCTTTCCCTTTGTCGTTATGGTCATCTGCAGAGCTTGGTGTCCTTTAGGCGCCCTGCCGAAGTTCCTGAAACACGAGATATTGAAGTTAGTCTCGTCCAAATAGAAGCGGCAAACACGCGGTCCATCAGACTGCAGCCATTGCGCGTACAGCATGGGAGTGTGTTGATATGGTCACTGTTGCGATCTGTGGGCGTCTGCTTCACTAGCTTCATCGAGTAGCAGTGGGCATCCAGCAAGCAATTGACTATGCTTGCACTGATTGTTACTCCTTGCTTTTGTTCCTCCAGGGCCTTCTTTATCTGCCTTAATATAAATGTACAATTTTTGTCGACAATTCATCTCAAAGTACTCACGACATCATCCCCAAACTTTCTTTTCGAACCCCCATTATGCTTCAAACCCCCACTACCCCACCATGTGGTTGCGGCAAACGATCTTGCTGTTTTTATGTTGATGTCTAGAGCGTCGGCCAGTTGCTTTTGGTCGCCGCCACGCCTGTAGACGTCCACAATCCTAACCCTGTCGACCATCGATACTCAACTGTCTTTTTCAAGGAGGTTTGTCTGGGTTCTTAAAGTGTGGTCCTCGTTTGCGTCCAGCGATGACTTCAAGCAAAGCTCTCTTGTCATCTGCAAAAGTGCCCCTACGAAAACACACGTGTTTCAAGCAAACACGCTTCAGCAGCACTAAGCGTCATCTGTTACATGAAAACCATAGTATCTACTTTCATGCTGTTATAAAAGCTTAATTCCACATAAACTCGATTATATGCAAGTTTAATTTTTTAAAGTCATTATTTCTGATTTCAAGAACAAATAATATCTGTCGGTCATTGTTGATCTCATTGGGCTGGGCAGACGACTGCGAAAGCCTCAGCGAATAAGTATCCAAATTCCGTCTGCTGAGCAGACGACATGAATCTATGGATATGCGATGGTGTACATGATTAGCCGGAGTATAGCAGTAGCGATGAAGCATAGACTAAAATAGACTCTATGATCAAATACATTTAGTACCTGTAAATGTATTTATTACACACTGTTTTTTTTTTATTTCAAAGCTATGACACCTAAATGTTAGTGGGAGGTAGCACTGCACACTTCATTTCATAAGCGCTAGCATGTATAGACGTGGGGAAAATTCCTCCTGTGACTTCATGTTTAGATTATTCTGATATTTATACTATATAAAGTGGCAAACTATCTGTTTATTGTGCATGGATTAAATCGACTTGCACCTGAATTAAAGTCATTGGCAATCGCATTAAACACAGTGGCACTTGGATTAAACTCACTGGCACGAGGCCTGATTGAGTTGTCGCTTGAATTAAACATGTTGGCGCTTGGACTGGATGTTTGGCACAAGGATTAAATAGCTTGGCACTCAGATTATTTCAATGGCCTGAAGATTATTTAAGCTGTCACTTGGATTGAAATGAGGGGGAAAACCTGTAGTTTTCCAGAGGAGGCGAAAGTAGCGGCGCCGAGGAGACAGCGACCGATTGGAGTGAGGGGCTGGCGGGGACGTCAGGTTGTGGTCAGAGCATGGAGAACTGTTTTGCAGCGGCCTTGGTATCTCGCGAGATGCGCTTCCAGGGAACGTTGGTGCTCGTGCAAAGCCCGACAGGTGGGATCTCGGTGGGCGGTCATACCTCGGCAGCTGCCGGTAGTTGCAGTACCAGGAAATGTGGCCTTCGACGCCACAGCTCTAGCAGATGGGTAGGGATGGCTTGCTGAACCTTGTTTTTCCTGGCCTTGTTTATCTGAATGTCATCACAAGGTAGAAATAAAGTTTTTTCATTAAATAAAGTTTTTTCATTCCATTCCATCACAAGCTAGTGTCTCTGGCATGAGCAAATATGGAATATTTTCATGATAAATAGTCTTCACTTGAAGGCACTGGACAGAGTCATTGCATCAATATGATGGTGTGGTCTCCGAACAATGCTGTCTTGGAGATGTCATCAACATAAAGACTGTAACATGGCAGGTGTTAATTCCTCCAGGCTCGTTTATAAATGTTCAAAAAGGCATTTCATAGAATTAGAGCTGCGAGAGGTGTTCTTTAAAAAGGTGCTGGCATGAAAACTTTCAGTTTTAATCTCTTTGTGCCAAATGAAAGGCCATACCCTGAAAAGTGGAAGAAAGGTACTGCTAAGCATGAGTGCACTCTGAAAGAACCAATTACGTTACATTTTTAAAAGCTAGTTTTGGTTCCTACTGTATTTTAAATTACAACGTAGTATGAGCTTCTCGTACTGTTCTTGCGCAAGATATTGTAGTGTTTCTACAGCTGCTCCGCACTGTGGATCTGTTGGTGATGCAGAATGGGTAGTTTTAAATCTTTAGGTGATGCATAAGTAGGGATTTGGAAGTTTTGCAACCAGACGTCGTCACTACTAGCCAGACTAATGTGTAGAGTCACCAGAATTAGTACTGTAGCTAAACGTCAAGCTAGTGTTGATGTCAGTAGGTGCACATTAGGAAAATTGTCTTCAATATCAGTATATATCTTATTAGCATTTACTGAGCCTCACACTTGCTCAGAGATTTCTCTGTGTACAGGAGATTTGTATGGCACAGTGAACTTTCTTTGGAAAAATGGTCTCAGCACCCTTTTAACACAAATGGGACAGGCTTGTTTAAAAGTTCTAAGGTTATTAAATGAGTTTAAGCAGAAAAACCTTTGTTGTGGCATCCCTGAGACCTAGAGTTTCCTAATATACACTAGAAAGAACTTTGGCGTTAGTGTCTATGGGAGCTGCAATGCACAGCGCTTCAGCGAGCATGGGAATGGTGGGTAGTGCATGTATTTGTCTAATCATACTTAAGGCCTGCTTCTGACTCCGTGTGTGTTTGTGTGGCTTGTAGCTGTTTTTTTCACGAAACAAAAGTCAGCAAGTGTTTAGAGGTTGCGATTCACCACCTTATTCCTTTAGGCTTACCATTTTGAATTAGGTCACGAAGTTCAAAAGGGTTCGTTCTTTCGTTCAAAGTGAAACCGAAACCAGCAATAAATGAAGCCAAATATATGATTTGTTGCTCGCAAGCACGAAGACTAGGCAAATCTGTGTACTACCCTTCATTCTCCTGGTCGCTGGATGATCACAGCACCAGAGTCCCCTCTAGTTAATTTTAGGAAGCTCTATGCCCTGAGATGTTGTTTCACTTTTTTCAGGGCCCAGTGACCGTGACGAAGTGTGTGCCACCTGTGGCCTGGGCTTCACCCACTGCCCTGGTCACATTGGTTACATCAGGTTGCCCCTGCTGGTGTTCAACCCGGTCTTCCTCAGGACTCTGTATCAGGTAGTAATTACTGCTCTAAAGCCATGCTAATTGGATGATTGCAAACTAATGGTGCTTCGAACTTATTGGCATCACCTGCAAAGAAATGTTAGTCTCCCCTGATATTTAGTGTGTGCCAATGTCACGAACCTGATTGCATGAGAGACTTTTATTTTACCTGTGAATCTGTTCTTTGTCGATGCTTTTATGTCCGGGAACTATTACAGAACAAAGCGTGGATAACCCAGAGAAAGTGGGTAAATCCCACTATGCCGCTGCGTCCACAAATTATCACTATGCCCCCACTCCTTCTGTTCACCACTGATCCTCCCGCCACTCCTACAACCACCACCACTCCTGGTGGCAAGCCAGATTGCTCGGGGGATAGATTTCTTGCTGCAAAGAATTATAAGGCTTTGTGGCGGTGGCGCTGGTGCTGGTGTATTCGGGAGAAGTACCACGTAATAGTGACGTGCCCAAAAGTGTGAGATGCCCTGCCTCCTCAGATGCGTGGGCAGCCAAAGGAGGCATGTGGTCTGAACCGGTGCACGCACTCGCCATTTCAAAAATCCTGCTTTGCCGCTCTGCCTTGAGTGCAAACGAGCCTGCAGTGAAACTGGTTCAATGCTTCTCGTCACAGCAAGAGGAGACTATCTCATCCTGGTTCACCTCCCTGCCATTTGGGGTGGGAAATAAAGCTTGTATGCCTACTTTGCCTGCAGTCTTCTTCAATTTATGAGAGAAGCCTAAATGGGAACCGCAGCCAAGTGAGAGCGTGTGTGCTTGTTTGGCCTTCTATTTCTGGGTGGCTCTGAGAATGATGAGCAGCTTTTCAGCTAGGAAGTTCAATAGGGCGCCGGGGAACTAACTGAGCATTCTTAAAGTGTTTTATCTGGTTCATAAAAACAATCCTTTTCGCATGATCCTAGAATCTTTGTTTTCCAGTAATGAACAAACTAGCTCAGCAACAAGCACTTTTGAGCTGGTCCATGAAACTGGCTTCTGTGTGTTCAGGGCACGATCCGACGAGGGTGGTTCTCATGAAGGAATAGGCTAGTTCTCGTTTAATCAGTTTAGAGTGCGCCGAAGGATATGGAAGCGAATTCTTTTGAGACTACAAGCAGCAAATCCGAGAACCTCGGCTCACCTTGTACCAGTACTTCCTTGGCAAGTTTGCAAATCTTGTTTGTTCTGGTCAAACGCACAGTGAGTAACGTCAAGGCTCTCCGTTGCTGCTTCTGTTGAGAGTTGTAGAACCGGAAGGTGCAGTTGTCGATGTACCAGAACATGTTTGCTACCTTCTGCAGTGTTTGTGAAGGGACACACAACAACGGTGATGGCTCCGAAACGACCAACACGCGCACAAGGTCCCACTTACTTTTCAATGTAGCGAGGGTGTTTGTATATCCCTTAACCTTGAGGGTGTTTACATATCCTGTGGCCATATAAAAAAACAAAGTATATTCAACTATACAATATCTTGAAAGACTGTCGTCTGGCTTCAAGTCTCTGCCAACCTGATCACTTAGCACAGGCATGACCCTATGCATACACACTATTTCTGGGTGATGATTGTTCCATTAAAATTAAAATTGACTATGGAAAAATTTGGTTAAAATGTCAAAAGTTTCTAAAAGCTACCACACTCATTCCATATGGGTTCTGGAACTTGACAACACCGTACTTGTCGATGTTTTCCCCGATGGTGTTCAGCAAGTGTTCTACTAGACCTTAAGACCTCTACCATGTCCCGCCTGGTGAGAGGCAGGGAATAGTAGAGGTCTTTGGCATCCACAGAAGTGATGGTCATGCCTGCAGAGCGCATAGACTTATGATGAAAGTTCCTCAACTGTCAGCAGCGACAGTTGATGCTATGGCAGAGCCTGCTTCAACAACTTTTGTCCGTGGTTTATATTGCTAATACACCATAAACCTATATTGCATTTGTATAGTATGGCCATTGGTCGGCAAACTCACTCATGAGTCGACTCATTGGGACTCGCTCAGACTCAGATCCAGCCGTGAGTCTGAGTGAGCGCGGTTGAAGGAAATTTTTTGTGAGCATGAGTAAGGGAGTTTCGTTAAGGAAAATTTTGGAGAGTCTGAGTCCGAGTGAGTCCAAAGAGCAAATTAAATGTCTTGAGTGAGCCTGAGTGAGTTCCACTTTCTTTTGCTGACCTCTTTTTTGGATATACAGCAGTGAAATTCGGGTTTGGCTTTTACAGATTGGAGAATACTATATCGGCTTGAATTCACTTGGCAAAAGACGTCTTGAGCAGCAGTGAATGAACAATATATTGCTACATGCATGTTGACATTTTGTGGGACGATGCGCGCGTGTGCCTGATGAAAAGGACGAACAGTGGTCTCCGCTCAGTGTCTGGTCAACCGGTCACGCCGCTGCTGTTGCTTTGAAACATATTTCATCCACAGCCTCGTTGATACGGCGTCTCTTCTCTTCTGTAACATATTTGGTGGAGGTGAAATGTTCCCCGTACTCACCACGAAGCTTCGCAGTGGCCACACCGCCTGCCCTCCGGCCATGGCCTCCAATGATGACAACCCGTCACCGCCTTCAGCTGGAGCGCCAGCGACGTCAAGGCCAGGCTGAGCGCCAGTGCCCAGCCTGGCCTTGACGTCGACTACTGGCTCCGCGTTTACGAGCGCGTTAGCCTTACTCACCGATGGGACCTACCATGATGCTCGCCAACTTAATCGTTTACTTGGATAACACTCCGCGTGTATGGTTCTACGCTCAAGAGACCAGCTTGGACCGAGCTCACCAGCTGGGACATTTTCGAAAGAACGATTAGGCAACATCTTTGGGGACCCGTCTGGTCGACAAATGGCTGCGTGAGAAAAGCTCGCCACCCGTGTTTAGTCATCAACTGAGTCGTATGTCTCGTATATACAGGATGGGCTTGCGTTGTGCCGCAAAGTGGACGAGCAAATGACCGAGAGCAAGAAGGTGGGCCACATACTCAAGGGCATTGTGGACGACGCTTTCAGCTTGCTTGTGTACAGCAGCATCACGACCGTCGATCTCATAACTAAAGAGTGCCGCCGCTTCGAAATGGCTAAAAACAGCCGAGTTCTGCCTCGATTTTCACGGCTCCCAAACACGGCTGCCACGTCAACCTGCACCGATCACTGTGCCACATCGCCCTTGCACGAGAATGTTACACGCGTCGTTCGGCGTGAGCTTGAGGCATCCCGTCCGGCGCCATTTCATCCACTTCCATTCGACCAGGGCACTGTGCAAACACCTCCGGCGGTGTCAGTTATTCAGGCAGTCGTGCTGCAAGAAATAGCTAACCTTGGTTTTCCTGTCACCTGCTCCGTCTCCCGACCAGACTGCAGACTGATGCCAATGAATTCACCACGCCATGACCCATACTGTCTGCCCAGATCCCGCAATCCGACGGAATGGAGAACAGCAGTCGACAAGCCAATCTGCTTCCGTTGTCACCGAGTTGGCTATGTCTGTCGCTACTGCCAGAGCACTTGGATGCCCCTCCGTTGGAGCCAATTTTCTTCTTCTCCTCGCCCATACGTGGACCCCTTTTGGTATTCGCTCAACCGTGAGTATCCTGCTTCCCACGCACCTAGCAGCCACTCTACCGCTCGTTCACTGTCACCACAACGCCGTCGCAATCAATCGCCTACCAACTATAAATCTTCCCAGATGTAAACATAGATCATGCAGCTCCTGGAGGTAGTGCTGCATCAAGTGTGACTGGGAAGTAGTGCTGCATCAAATGTGACTGAGCTAAATCCTCCGTTGACGCTCTCTACTAATAAGAACTTGCTGGAAGTGTATGTGGATGGTCTTTCTTTGACGGCTTTTGTTGACAGTGGAGCTCAGATGTCTAGAATGACTGCTTGTCTCTGTCGCCGCCTCAAAAAAATATGTCTACCGCAACAGAAGCCGTCCGTGTGGCTGATGGTGGAACTGTGGCCGTCAGTAAAATTTGTACCCTTCATATTAGCCTTGCCGGCCGCCATATTCCTGTTTTATTTATCGTGCTTGACAATTGCCCTCATGACCTCATCGGCGCGATAGACTTTTTATCGATGCATTCTGCCCTGATCGACTGTTCCGCCGGCACTCTCTGTTTAGATCTTCCTCTTCTTCCAGATTCTCGCCCCGAGCTCCCGAAAAGCCTCTGTACCACAGACATCAGTCGTATACCGTGAAAAGCCCTCAAATTCCTTGAATTGGCAAGAAGTTCACCCGTTATTGATGGTGATTATGTCCAGATGCCTATTCCTGATGTTCTCCTGGCGCGCGACAGTGGTGTCGCGTGCCAGGAGAACATCGGGAATAGGCGTGAGGCCATGGTTACGACACTCCGTCGTAACCATGGTCTCTAACGGGACATGTCTGCCCATTATCAATTTCGGTTTCCCGCAGCAAGTGCTACCACACGGAATCTAAGTCGCCATGCTGCGACCCTTAATAGACGCCCAAGTCACCGCTTTTGCGGCAGACGCATGCTGCAATCTTCCATGTCGCCGGCAGGATGCCACATTTCTTGATGTGTCTTTGCGCCCCATGATCGACCCGCAACTCAAACCTGTGCAATCCGACGCCCTATGCCGCCTTGTGGCTTCCTACCGCGACATATTTGACACCGACAACAGTCCACTTGGTCAGACTTCCCTCGTGAAGCAATAATACTGCCGATTCTCCTCCCATTCACCGCCGACCATACTGGGTGTCTCCCACAGAGCCTAAGGTAATTCAAGAAGTCAAAAAGATGCTAGCCAAAGGAATTATTGAGCCCTGCTCAAGCCCTTGGGCATCTCCCGTTGTGCTCGTTAGAAGTAAAGATGACACGTGGCACTTCTGCATTGATTACTGACATCTAAATCAAATCACGAAAAAAGACGTTTATCCTTTGTCCCGCATTGATGACGCCCTCGATTCTCTTCGCGGCGCGGGATACTTTTCTTGAATTGACCTATGTTCTGGCTATCGGCAGATTGCGGTGGACGAGAAAGACCAAGAAAAAACTGCC